TAAAGCTGGGGTTGCAAGTTCAGGAACTTGTGGGTGGCTGAGATCCGTATGCTCACTTTCTATAAAGTCGCCAACAGCGAGAAATGCAGGCTTTAGAAGATCAACGGATACAGCTTTCTCCAGTCCATCCATGTTTATTATGTAGACCTTCTCATCTACACGACGAGTTATTTGGTGAGGTCCAGTATATGGATGTTCAAGCGGTTTTTTGACAGAAGCGACTCTCTTGAAAACGTGTGTACACGTTTTCAAATCCTTGGAATAAAAAATGTGGGGCTTCGTGTGATGGGCGGCAGGAGTAGGTTTAACTGCCCGAATATGTTGGCGCAAACCTTCAGTAAGCCGGTGTTGGTTGTTGTATGTTGTATGCGGATCGAAAAATTCATTCGGAAGACGAATAGAAGTGCCGAAAAGTATTTCAGCTGGAGATGCTTGCAGGTCCGCCTTAAAAGTCGAACGCAATCCCAATAGTACCGTGGGTAACAGTTCAGGCCAAACTATGTGAGAGTTACACATTAGCGCAGCCTTGAATGTTCGATGCCAGCGCTCTACCATTCCATTTGATTGTGGGTGATACGCAGTTGTTCGAATGCTTTCAGCTCCAATCAGTTTCGCTAGATCGGCAAACAGCGAGGACTCAAATTGCGTGCCCTGATCCGTTGTTATGGTGAGTGGGCAGCCAAACATACAGATCCAGTGGGTGTACAAAGCTTTTGCAACCGTTTCTGCGGTCATGTTTGACAGAGGAATAGCTAGAGGCCATCTACTAAAGCGGTCGATGATCGTAAGGCAGTAACACAGGTTGCGGACTTGTGGAAGCTCGATCAGGTCGATATGAATGTGCTCAAAACGGTTGTCAGGAATATCAATCTTGTCCACAGCACTGTGTGTGTGTCGATGAATTTTTGACCGTTGGCATGGAACGCATTGACGGGACCATAATGTAGCATCTCGGTTAATTCCTGGCCAAACAAACCGCTGCTTGAGTAACTTGGCAGTTGCACGGCTGCTTGGATGTGCCAGTCCATGCACTGCATCGAATGCTTGGCGTCTTAAGCTCTCAGGCAAGTATGGGCGCTCGCGTCCATTCGAGCTATCGCATAGGATATCGAGCTGATCAATTTGTCGGATTTGGAGATTAAGAGATGTATTGGATAGCTTTGCCATTTCATCATCAGCTTGTTGTGCATTAAAAATCGCTTGGGCGCTGAAATTGGTCGGCATACTTATCGCGTTTATGCGAGATAGTGCATCTGCGACAATATTGTTCTCTCCGGGATTATAAATGATTTCTGTAGAAAATTGGGAGATGAAGTCCAACTGCCGAAGTTGACGCGGTGATGCTTTGCTGGCTTTCTGCTTGAAAGCGTATTGCAGTGGTTTGTGGTCAGTTTGAATTACAAAAGGACGTCCCTCCAATATATGCTTGAACGCTATAATGCCGGCGAAAATTGCTAGTAGCTCGCGATCATACGTGCTGTATCTTCGCTCTGTGGGAGACAGTTTTCGAGAGAAGAAACTTACCGGACGCCAAACATTGCCATCCAATTGCTCGAGGGCGGCTCCAATCGCTGTATCCGATGCGTCTGTTAGCTGGTCTGACGGGGAGAGAAACGTAGAGCTCACTGCTTTCGATATTCCCAGCTTGCAGGTGTGGAATGCGCTTTCAGCATCGGGGGTCCAAGCAATCTCTCGTCTGTCGTTTTTGGTTGCACCTTTTAGGTAATCTGTCAGCGGAATCTGCGCCTGAGCTGCATGCGGAATCAGATGTCGTTAATAATTTACCATTCCCAGAAATCTGCGTAATTCCATAATTGTTTGAGGCTTGGGAAATTCCGAAATGACTCGAGTACGTTCAGCCGGAGGCTTGAATCCGTTAGCACTGACTTCAAAGCCGAGAAAAATAACATCACTTTTACCAAATCGGCATTTTTGTGGGTTGATTTGAAGGTGGTTATCCTGTAGGATTTTGAAGATTGTTTGAAGATGTTGCAGGTGCTCCTCGTGCGTCTTGGAGAAAACAAAGATGTCGTCGATATAACATCCTACGAATGATACTCCACGGAGAAGATTGTCCATATGCCTTTGAAAGGTTTGTGCTGCATTTCGCAAACCTGGTGGCATGCCAACAAATTCAAACAGCCCAAATGGAGTGGTGACTGCCGTTTTTGAAATATCGCCCATGGCGACTGGAATTTGATGGTAAGCACGCACCAGGTCGAGCGTGGAGAAAACGGTGCAACCGTGCAAACGCTGTAGAATGTCCTCACCATGGGGTATAGGATAGCGATCTGGAACTGTGCAAGCATTAAGTTTTCGATAATCACCTGTTGTACGCCACTCATTGTTTTTCTTAGGGACCAAATGAATAGGGCTAGCCCATTGGCTACTTGAGGGACGAATTACTCCTTGTTGTATTAAAAGGTCAAAGTCCCGACGTGCCGCCTTAAGTTTTTCACCTGTAAGCCGTCTTGGCTTGTCAAAAACGGGGGGGGCCAGTTGTCTCAATGTAATGTGCTACGTCATTGCTTACGCGCGTTGCAGGGGGTTTATTGGGTCGTGTTATGTCCAAAAAGAGACCAAGTAGATTGGAATATGGCTGATCTACTTCGGCGAAGTTGTGTGAGTTGATTGTAGAAATGTTATAGACTTTTGTTTCCGTCAGCTCTCCTTTTGTTGATGTGGACGTTAAAGAATCAATGAGGCGTTTACCCTTGAGGTCAATGATCAGACCATGATAAGTAAGAAAATCCGCTCCAATGATTGCTGATTGGACGTTAGCGACGACGAATTGCCAGCTAAATTTGCGTTGTAGGTTAAGGCCAAACGTCAGATTTAAAGTCCCGTAGGTATCAATTACTGATGTATTTGCAGCGTATAGTTTGAATTCGTCCTTGCGACATAGGCTATTTTTTACTAATGAAAGCGGAATGAGTGAGATGACTGATCCGGAATCAATAAGAAATTTGATGTTAGTGCAGCGATCTTAAATGTGTAGTCGATATTCTTTAGAGAGGCGAGCATTCGGACTTCTGCTGTCATCGGCTGCCTGTACGGATGACAGCTTTTTTAGTTTCCCTGTGACTGGGCCCACGAACAGGGCGGCGAACACTTTCGAGCGTTATTACCAAATTTATCATGATAAAAACATAAACGAGATGCTCTCCCTTGCTCTCTATTCTGAACGGCTTGGCTAGAATTGCTGGCACGCCAATTATTTTGCAAAAGGGCTTCGTGTTTTACTTCGTCCATGGAGTCCCTAGAAACCGAGTGGGGTTGGTCGAATTTGTTTCCTCGCGATTGAGATGAAGAATGTCCAGCAGCCATAACGAAAGAAGTGGTTTCGTCCTCCATGAGAATGTCGGCAAGTTCAGTTTGCTCTTCTATAGAAGCTGAACGCAGAACTTTCAAACCTCGCTGTACATGCTGAGGGAGTTGGGAGAGCCATCGAACTCGTAAGGCGTCACTGGATGTGCGACCGCCAGCAAGTGTCGTCATTTGCCGTAATAGCTGAGAGGGCTTCTTGTCCCCGAGGTCTAGCTCAAGTAAGGCACGCTGCAGTTGTCGATCCGGGGATTCTGTAAAGCGCTGAATGATGATCGACTTAAGGTGCTCATACTTATTGGAATCCGGTGGCTGAGCGAGAACATCAGAGACTTCGGACATAACCTCAACGTCTAAAGCGCTAAGGAGGTGATAGTAGCGAGTATTGTCCGATGTGATACGGTTGCATTGGAATTGCGCCTCGACTTGGAGAAACCATAACGGAACATGTTGTTTCCAAAATGCAGGGAGCTTGCATGTGCTGATTGTCTCCACAACCGGCGTGACATTGCCGCTACCATGTGGAGTCTCAAACGAGTCGGGCGAGGCTGGTGAAACATTTCCATTATCTTGGCCGTCATCCATAGTGCTTGTTGCGGTGTTCTTGTTTGCGGGGTCACCAATGTAGAGATTCACTCTTAACTTAACTTTTATTTAGATATTAATAGGTTGAGTAACAATTGTGTCTACTATATGCTAATTGCGCCGCAAGGGAGAGGGATATCGATATCAATCCAATTTTTATATCGATCCAGAGTTATTTTATGACATCAGCTGTTCGCTTCGGATTGCCAGATTGGTCGCCACATATATATGTTTTGTTATACGTAGATGACTTGGTTATTTGTACAGAAAACATTTTAACAATGAATAAATTTAAGTCATATTTAATGAGCAAGTTTCAAATGACAGATTTAATGGAAATTAAGTATTTTAATGGTATTAAAATAGACAGAAAAGAAAGTAAAGTGGAATTAAGCCAATCAGCTTATATAAAAAATATTTTATTAAAATTTAACATGGAGCAATGTAATTCTGTAAATTCACCACTTCCAAGTAAACTGAACTTTGATTTATTAGACTCTGATGAAAGAGACGATTCTCCTTGTCAAAGTTTGATTGGATGCCTTATGTATGTAATGCTATGTACAAGGCCAGATCTTAGTATATCTGTAAATCTTTTGAGTCGGTATAGTCAGAAAAATAATAAAGAGCTTTGGCTATGTTTAAAAAGGGTATTAAGGTATCTGAAAGGTACTATCGACTTTAAGCTAACATTCACTAAAAATGAGAGCAATGACGACTTCTTTGTTGGATTTGTAGATTCAGATTGGGGTGGAAGTCAATTGGATAGGAGAAGTACAACAGGATATCTTTTTAAGATGTTTAAAACAAACCTGATTTGTTGGAGTACTCGAAAACAGAATTCAGTGGCAGCATCATCAACCGAAGCTGAATATATGGCATTGTTTGAGGCTGTAAGGGAAGCCCTATGGTTAAAATCTTTACTAGAAAGTTTGAACATAAATGTAAAGCAACCTATTACAATATTTGAAGATAATCAGGGCTGTATTAGTATCGCCAACAACCCCTCTTGCCCCAAACGTTCAAAACATATAGACATCAAATATCATTTTTCACGTGAACAAGTTGAAAATAAACTAATAAAACTTGAGTATATTTCTACAGATCATCAACTGGCGGATATATTGACAAAACCACTTCCAGCCCCACGCTTTGCACAATTGAGACAGCTTCTTGGCTTAAGCGATTGATGGATGCAGACGATACTTACATAAAAGTTGAAGACTTAATTTAATTTATCATTTAAAGAATAATTTTTGAAACTATGAATCTGTTATATTTTCTAGCTATTAAGTTTGGAAACAGAAGATTTTCTTAATTACTTTATAGTTTTCAAATTTATAATATCACTTCCTGAAATTGCCTTTAATTGTTTTGTATGTTAATTTTGCATCACATCATTTTGTCATTTTAAATATTCATTTTTCTTTGTATTAATTTTAAGATTGACCTAATTGGGTTTTACTGGGTTTCCCCAATTCAAGCAACAAATGTTGGGTCAATGTGCACTCCCAGAGATATCTTGTCTTGCCAATTCAAATTTCAAATTCTTTCTTAAACTTTAAATTTTTAAATCATGAGCATCAGACTTTTGAGGAGGTGTGTTGGAATATGACATTACTTCATATCGATAAGAATATCGTATAAGCAAAAGTATTCTGCTCACTACTGTAACTGGTAACACTAATATCGTTTTGGTTCCGATGAGCTGGTTCAGCTCTCTCTTATTCCGTATAATTTGAAGTGACAAGACGTGTTCTAAGGAACTTAAAATATATATCTAAAACTATACATAAAGTGTATTTAACTTGGGTTGTGAATTGGTGGGAGATATAATATTGCACCGAGCACATATTACACGCTATAAGAAGACCACAGGACGAATACAAGAGGCAACACGTGGAACGCGGATTCTGACGAAATACTGTGACGCTTCCAGGAAATCACACACACACACATATAAATTGTGTATATTCTTATAAACACTAATCAGGGAACTGTGCACACAAATCAATAATCTGCTTGAAATAAGCCACCTCAAATATATAGAAAACAGAATAAAACATATCCAACCACAAAATATTAGCATAAAGTCGCTAGCAAACACAGGTTTTGCAATAGAACACCTCAATCATGATATCCACCTCACTGCTGAGGAAAAAACCACAATTGATATTCCAACTCCCGATGTCATACATTCTCTGTTTACAAAAATAAACACGCTAGCATGGTCATTCGAACAGGTAAACAAGCAAAATGATAGCATATCATCAGAGAGTATAGCACTACGACAGCACGCCAGACATATTGACACGTCAGTTTTAAACGCATTTGACGGAAATCCTGTTACCACATCCAAAATTGTGAACTTTGACCAAAACCTTAGTGCAGATGGTAAATGGAGAGGAGCTGAAGAACTAGGCTTTACAAATGCTAGTCAACTTCTAGATTGGGTTTCTAACGGCAATGGGAAGAAGACGCTAGGACCAGATAGCTCTAGCAATTTCCTTTTAAAAAAATGCAATATGCTAGTCCTTGGCCACCTTGCCAAACTATTTAACCAGTGCTACAATGTTGGATACTTTCCCGCCAGCTGGAAATGTGGGCGAGTAATCCCGATACCAAAAAACAAGGCTAAACCTGAAAGTCTCCAAGCCTATAGACCTATAACTATCCTTTCGGCTATAAGCCAACTCTTTGAAAAAATGTTATTTGCCCAAATAAAAAAGCATCTTGATGCAAACCAAATTCTTAAACCATACCAGTTCGGTTTTAGAGAAAATACATCAGTAAGCCACTCCCTTGCAGTTGCCAATAACTTTATTTTTAAAAATCTTTCTCAAAAACGAGCCACAATAGCGTGTGCCCTTGATTTTAAAAAAGCTTTTGACACTGTGTGGACAAACGGACTAATCTACAAGATGTCCCAAATCTTTAACTTCCCTTCAAATACAACACGGATCGTTAACAACTATCTTACCCAAAGATCATTCTTCGTCTGTAGCCCTGATGGCGCAGAACGCTCACTAATACGAAGAATAACCGCAGGGGTACCTCAAGGCTCCATCCTAGCTCCGATACTCTATAACATTTACTTAGCCGACATGCCTGATTTTCAAAAAAGCCCAAACTCAACGTCGACCGCTTGCATTCAGCCCTTGATATATGCAGATGACATACTTATCTTGTCCTCAGGAGCTAGGATTGCTAGCGCAGAAACTGATTTAAATTTGTATTTAGACCAGCTATGCGTCTACTTTAAAAAATGGCGCCTTAAACTAAACGCGGCCAAATGTGAGGGATGCTTCATCAAAGGTCAAAGAGTAAGTGATATTTATCCAAACGCACGGTCTTTTCAACCTAATATATTTATAAACAGCACCACAAGAGTTAAGATGAGCGCCGATCTAAAATATCTCGGTGTAACATATGATGCAAAACTAAACTTTAAAAATCACATTATGAATACCCTTAAGAAGGCTAAACTACAATTCAACAAAATACACCAGATATTTGGACCAATAAGTGACAATGGGGCTGGTCCCAACCACGAATTAGCAAAAATCAAGGCGCTTATTTATAAAAAACTTATTCAGCCAATCCTAGTATACGGCCACATTGGCTGGTTTAACATAGAATCAAGGCAGATGGAAAACTTGCGTCTTTATGAAAGAAAAATCCTACGCAGAACTATTGGTTCTGCTGCCAGAAACTTAATCACTAGGCACTATATGAACAATACAGAGCTTTACAAACTAACAAAAACAAGACGGGTAGACACTCTTATATTTGATATAATAGAAAAATTCTTAGAAAATAATAAAAACACCCAAAATGCTCTAATAAAAGAAAGCATTGAACAAACAAGAATACCTCCCAACTACTCAACTAACCATTTAACAATTAAAAACATAAAACACCTAAAAGAAATAGGCATAATACATGACATGAACCAAAATCTGATTTTTTACCACAGGCAGCGTCAATCCCTAAGTCCTGAGGATTTAATCTTTAATATAAATCAATAAACTTGTTTTCCTTACTAATTATATGCAGCATACATTACCCCACTATTCCCTTCATCCATACATTACAGCAAATCAAAACTTAAAATTAAAATTGTTAACCTCAAATGATACTCACGCCTTGATAAGCTTAAAGCATAAGGCAAAATACAAAGAATCTCATAATCTAAGTAAGCTTGAATTTGTCAACCAAGACTGTACTATTTTTAAGGTATCACCACTGTACTACCTCTATTTACCTAAGACAATAAACTTGAAACTTGAAACGCACCACTATGATCAGTGAATTGTGTTTGTGAAATCATAAGTGAAGTGAATAATGCCGCCTAAAACTAGTGGAAAGGCAGCCAAGAAGGCTGGCAAGGCCCAGAAGAACATCACCAAGACCGACAAGAAGAAGAAGCGCAAGAGGAAGGAGAGCTACGCCATCTACATTTACAAGGTCCTGAAGCAGGTCCATCCTGACACCGGCATTTCGTCGAAGGCGATGAGCATCATGAACAGCTTTGTGAATGATATCTTCGAGCGCATTGCTGCCGAGGCCTCTCGTCTGGCTCACTACAACAAGCGCTCGACCATCACCAGTCGGGAAATCCAAACGGCTGTTCGCCTGCTCCTGCCCGGAGAGTTGGCCAAGCACGCCGTTAGTGAGGGAACCAAGGCTGCCCTTTTCAGGGCCACAACATATTTTACCAAAGAAACTAAATTTTCAATATACCATAAACCATTTGCTATTTGCCATTTGCCATAAAATATAAAATGATCAATTTGGTGCACCATTTTTTTAAAGGACTTAATCATTAACATCTATTTACAAAGAAATTGTGCAATGTCTCCTCTATGAACCTGGTATATACTGATATACTTTCTACTGGCGGCCAGGTGCCACAATATAAATGGATACATTAAATGAACAATATGTTTTCAATTGAAAGTTTCTTTCTCTTGTTAACCAAAGTTGTAGCCCTGAAAAGGGCTTGTTAAACTAATTTCAGATTTCGAAATCTGAAATTGCGATTGCGAGCGTGTACCAGGTACTGTACTTTTTCACAATTTACTTCTTAGCAGCCGTAGTCTTGGCTTTCGGCTTCTTAGCGGTAGCAGGAGCAGCTGCTTTCTTCACCGCCTTTTTGGGTTTAGCAGACGCCGCTGGTTTGGCTTTTGGTGCTTTGGCCGCCTTCGGCTTCGCTGCCGTCGACTTGGCCTTTGTTGCTGCTGGCTTTGCCTTTACGGTTCCAGTTTTCTTGGCATCCTTGGCCTTCGTCTTCTCCGTTTTCTTCTTCTCGGCGGTCTTTTTGGTGGCAACAGCCTTCTTAGCCTTGGGCTTCTTGTCGGCAGCTCCCGTGGCAGCCTTCTTGGCGGTGGCTCCGGTCTTCTTGGCGGCTACCTTCTTGCTTTTCACTTTCTTCTCAGCAGACGCAACCTTTGGCTTGGGATCCTTCTTGGCGGAGGCCGACAGTTTAAATGAGCCAGACGCACCCTTTCCCTTTGTTTGAATCAGCTTTCCATTGACCACGGCAGATTTCAAGTACTTCTTGATGAATGGAGCCAGCTTCTGGGCATCGCATTTATAAGTGGCACTGATATATTTCTTGATTGCCAGAAGCGATGAGCCGCCACGCTCCTTCAAATTATTGATGGAAGCGTCTACCATTTGCTGAGTTGGCGGATGCGATGGCGTGGCAGTGGTCTTCTTTGCCTTTGTAGCAGCGGATCCAGATGCCTTTTTGGCGGCCACCTTCTTCTCAACTGGCGCTGGTGGGGCAGCCACTGGGGAAGCGGACGTTGCAACTGCAGAATCAGACATTTTTATTCACTGAAATACACTTTTTTGTTTAGAAAATGGCGCGCGCGCTCGTTACCGACCTCCTTCGTTCGGATGAGAATCGAGGAGGAGAGCACTTTAACTGTGGGTCTGGCATCAGTCATTTGGTCTGCTAATGCTTGCTTGAAGTGCAAACTTATTTTCTTGTTTTCAGTGCTTAAGATTTTAAATAGAAAATATGTTTTTATTGGTATACATCCTTAAAAGATGAATTAATCAATTACCGTTTTCGAATTGTAAGTATCTTGTTTTTGTGACTTTTTATTGCTGCATGAACTTCAACATTGACATTCGTAACATGAACAATTTTTTTAAAAACCCATTTTAAAATATGAAATCTCTGAAATATTCGGAATCTTGTTAATAAAAAATAAAATTCGAACCTTTTACTTTACGAAAAACCAAAAATATAATCACTTATCATTAATTTAGGTATTTTAATTCTTGTTTCAAGTTGTCCCTTGGCTACGTACAAAGTTGTCTATCAGACTACATTCGATAATAGTTTTCGGACTGTTAAAAATATTAATCTTTC